CAATTTGACTGGTACCACATCAGCAAATGGAGGTCTAGAAAGCTTTACCTTATCCATAGGAGTAAGGCTGGGTTTACTGAGATGATGCAGCTCTTTCCCAGACCTATTCTGAGAGCTTTCTAACCTAACAGGAGTATTCATAAAGTTGTGCGGTAATGTATCAAACAGTGTTTCTTTGCTACTCATAAGGTTTTCCCTGGCCAGTTCTTTGAGAAGTGGATGGTCTCCTCCTTCTTCCTAGTCTGTCTCAGTCTGTAAGCTGGGCTGATATCTGTGCACTATGTGCATCCTGCTGGGTTAGAAACACCAGTGGGTGTATCAGCTTCAAAACTCACATCAACACGTCACCACCACGGTAGGACAAACCAACAGACAACTTTGCCTCCCTGTTGGAAACCTCTCCTACCACCCTTACCTGGGTCCCTTCATCTGACTCCTCCTCTGCCCAGATTCCTAGGCCCTTTAATCCCCTTCCTCCTTCTCTCTAGTCCTGCTTCTTTAGGTGTGCCTGATTTCCCTCTCCTCATCTGGATCCCTGTGGCTGACAGCTTCTCTGTCAGAGTTCCTGGCTTTTAATCCCCTTTTTCCTGCTTATAAGTATAAAAATACCTATAAGCAACCTATATTAGTTCTCTAGGACTACCATAACAAAACACCACAAATTGGGTGGTTTTACACAACAGAAACTTATTATCTCAAAGTTCTGGAGGCTAGAAGACTGCATTCAAGGTGTCAGAAGGGCCATGTTCTTCTGAAAAGCTATAGGGGAAGATTTTTTTTTTTTTTTGTCTCTTCCAGGTTCTAATAGCCCATGTATTCCTTTGTGTGTGAATAAATCATTACATGGTCATCATTCCCATGTGTATTTCTTCACCTCTTTTATAGGACACCAGTGGTGTAGTAAGGAGCTCCAGTAGCACAGTGCCTAAGGTATCTGACTGCTATCCAGAAAGTTGGCAGTTCAAACCCACCAGGTACTCCATGGAAGCAAGACTGGACAACCTACTTCCATAGTTACTGCCTCAGAAACCCAGTAGGGTCACTATGAGTCTGAATCGACTTGACAGCAATGGGTCTGGTTTTTCTGGTGGTGCAAAAGTTAAAACATTCAACTGCTAATCAGAAGATCAGTGGGTCAAACCCACCAGATTCTCTGCAAGAGAAAGATGAGGCAGTCTGTGTTCATAATGATTTACAGCCTTGGAAATCATATGGGGAAGTTGCACTAAGTCTTATAGAACTACTGTGAGTCAAAATTGACTAGAAGGAAGTGGTTTTTTTTTTTTCAGAGTAGATTAGGGCTCACCCCACTTCAGTATAACCTCATGTTTAGTGATAACATCTTCAAAGACTTTATTTGTAAATAAAGTCACATTCACAGGGACCAGAGGTTAAGACTTTTACATATTTTGCAGGAAGAAATACAAAATTTAATCCATAACACAACCTTTAAGAAAAGACACCTGAACATAGCCAGCACCATTGGATTTAGTGCTGATTGTCAACCTGGTTTTCTTTGTACTGATCCTGAAAGTAGTGCTGATGAAGAAATGGGCCTATGGGAAAGCATATCACCACAACTCCTGTGTTTTGAATTTTATTTTCATGGAGACTTCTGTCTAAGAGAGGGTACTGGACCTACTTTCCAGAAACAAGTGCTTGCATTTTCTTATGCTTATTATTTGGGAAAGGAGCAGAAAATAACCACAATAAAATTAGAAAAGCCCAGTGTAAATTTTGAAAGCTGGATGGTTTTTTGCTGGGTATGCTTCATTTTGAAAGCTCATTGTTTTTGCTCCAAAATTAGGAAAATATGTATTATTTTATGAAATAACCATAATTAATGCTTATAAGACATCTTTCCAGCCATTTCAAAGGCTTGACAAGTTTAACTAAACTTCCTAAAAAATAATTCTGTCAACCAAAGGGCAGTGCAATAGAAGAGAGGGACAAAATGTGCATAAAATGTTCCATTAAATATGTACAATTGGCTAGATCCTTAATCCCCCATCCCACAGCACCAGGCACACCCTTTAAACAGAGCAGACAATAGGAACAACATGGTGGGGCTTCGTTCAGGCAACACATCTGTTCACTTAACTGGATTGTGTTTTATATTTGGGCATAACAAGTTTTGATTGTCTTTATATAGAGTGACAGCAGTGTAATGAATGTTCTTTGAACTCAGAATTGTATAAATACGTAGACAGGTTGATTTGAGAAGAGAAAACAAAGCATGTGAAAACTGGCAAAATACCAATTTAAGAATTTAAATTACAGATACTCTTCTTTAAGAAAAATAAAAAAATAAATAAAAAGGCAAGAAACTCCATTGGCAGACCACCAACGAAGGACCATTAAGATCTAAACCACATGAAAAAAAAAAAAAAAAAAA